AAATGATTAACACATGGGATTGCAAATCTATTGTATATCAAAGCTAATCACATATGCTATCATTCATTATCAAAATACAAAGATAAAAATATAAATAATAAAATAAAAAATAAAATAATAAAATAAAAGTAAAATAAAAATAAATGAAATGGGTAAAAGCTGTCACTCATCAACTACGTAAGCTACAACGTAGTCGAAACTGTTACATTCCTCCCTTCTTAGAATTCAATGTTCTCGTGAATTCTCAAAAACTGTTACTATATCAGTGACATTAGTGAGGCTTTCTTTAGGTTCCCAAGTGATATCATGCAAGGGGTAACCTTTCCATTTGACCAGGTAGAAGGGTTTTCTACACACTAGTTTCTTGTCCAAAATTGTTTCTACTTTATATTCCTCTTCATTGGCTTCAGGAATAACTTCTGGTGGTGGTGATATGTCGCAGTTAAAGTCAGTTAGGTTTCCTCTATATGGTTTTAGCATTGACACATGGAAGACAAGGTGAATCTTCAAATTATGTGGTAGTTTTAGTTGGTATACAGTTGTAGAGATAACTTTTTCAATTTTATATGGTTCCATAAATTTAGGAGTGAGTTTGTGAGTTGGTCAGTTGGTTTGTACAGGATCATTGATATTAATAGTATTTATTAGAACTTTATCTCCTTCTTCAAAGGTAAGTTCACAGTGGTGTTTGTTGGCATATTGTTGTTGTCATTCCTGGGCTAAGTGCAAATTATCTTTTGTAAGATTAATAATATTTTTCTATTTTAATAGAAAGTCATCAGTTGCGGTGACATTTGTTTGTTTTCTAGCTGCAAAAGTAGTAAATATATTTGGATGTTGTCCTAAATCAATTTCAAAAGGTGTAAAACCAGTAGATAGATTTTTAGAGTTAATATAAGCAAATTCTACTGCAGATAACAATTCATCCCAATTGCTTTGTTGGTAGTTTATATAAGCTCATAACATTTCTTCCATGGTACAGTTCATGTGTTCGGTTTGGCCATCTGTTTGTGGGTGATGAGAGGTTGACATTGCAAGTTTTATTTCCAATTTTTCAAAAAGTGCTTTTCAAAAGTAACTGGTAAATTTAGGATCTCTATCAGAAATTATGACTTTAGGTAGTCCATAGTTTTTAAATATAGTTTTAAAGAATATTTTAGCTACTTGTGGTGCTGTTACATCAGTAATAGTAGGAATAAAATAGGTTCGTTTGAATAGTTTTTCTACAAAAACAACTATAGCATCATGTTTCTTTGTGGTTTTTGGTAATTGTACAACAAAATCCATTGCAATATGGTCCTATCAGTATTCTGGTATGTCTAGGGGTTGTAATAATTCAGCAGGCACTTGGTTGGAAGCTTTATTTCTTTGACAGGAGTTACAACTAGTGACATAATTCTTTATATCTTTTCCCATTCTTGATCAAAAATATTTTCATTGAACTAACTCCAAAGTTTTCTCAGTACCCAAATGTCCGGCAATAATTGAATCATAACATTCATGTAACAAAAGTGTTCGTAATTCCTTATTGTTAGAGATTGCAAGCCGTTTTTTACTTTTGAGATAAATTAATTCATCATGAAGTTCAAAGTTGCGTGCTTGGGGTTTATTTTCTTTGGAAGTTAATGCTTGATAAATTGGTTCAAAATAAGAATTATTCTTATATTTGTTAATCAGTAATTCTTTGTCAATTAGGTTGGTATTAAGGATATTAATATTTGAAAGTTGGGGAACTTGAGATAATGCATTAGCTACCACATTTGTTTTTTCCGGTTGGTATTTAACATCAAAATTAGATGATTGTAAGACTTCAAGTCACCTAACTTGTCTTCTGGAGAGGTTTGATTGTGATTTAATAAATTTTAAAGCTGCGTGATCTGTAATAATTGTAAATAGTTTTTCTTCAAGATAGAGATGCCAAAATTTAATGGCATGAACTATTGCCAGTAGTTCCTTTTCGTGAGTTGCATAGTTTAATTCAGCAGAGTTTAATTTCCTAGATTCAAATGTAATAGGTTGATTACTTTTACCATGGTCTTGACTCAGCACAGCTCCAATAGTAGTGTCAGAGGCATCAGTAGTTACAGTAAAAGGTTTGGTTTGATCTGGAATAAGATAGACAGGTGCGGAGATTAACTTCTTTTTAATTTGTCAAAAGCTTTTTATTGATCTGGTTTCCATTCATATGGTATATCCTTTTGTATTAATGTAGTTAAAGAGAAGGCAATGGCAAAGAAATTTTTTACAAATTTCCTGTAATATAAAGCTAGTTCCAAAAATGATCTAAATTCCATTAAGTTAGTAGGATTAGGTCATTTTTTAATTACTTCTACTTTCCTTTCATCGATAACAATTCCTTCACTGGATATATAATGTCCAAAATATTCAACTTTGTTTTTGAATAATTCACACTTTTTTAACTTGGCATATAATCTATGTTCTCTAAGTTTTAATAATACTTTACGCAAATGTTTCAAATGGTCTTCTTTTGTTTTACTGTATATTAGAATATCATCCAAATATATGACCACAAATTCATCAAGATATTTATAAAAAATATCATTCATTAGAGTCATGAAGGTTGCAGGAGCATTGGTTAATCCAAAGAGTAAGACTAAAAATTCATAATGACCATATTGAGTTTGGAAGGCAGTTTTATAAATATCTTCTTTTTTGATTCAGATTTGATGATATCCTGAGTATAAATCCAATTTGAAAAAGTATTTAGCACCAACAAGTTGGTCCAGTAAATCTTCAATTCGAGATAGTGGGTAGTGATTCTTGATGGTCATCTTGTTAAGAGCTCGATAATCAACACAAAGTCTTAAGGTTCCTTACTTTTTATGAACAAATAGGACAGAAGCATCAAAAGGAGATACAGAAGATTAAATAAATCCTTTTTCCAAAAGGTCAGAAAGTTGAACTTTTAATTCCTTCATTTCATAATGAGATAGTTAATAAACAGGTTGAGATGGAGGTTCCATGTCAGGTATAAGGTCAATTGCGTGATCTAATCTTCTTTCTGAAGATAATCCATTAGGCAAAGTAGTAGGAAAAGTGTCATTAAATTCTTTCAAAAGTTTCTTAACTTCAGAAGGATATATTAGTTGTTTTTCATTAGAGGTTACTTCTTCAGTTAGGTATAAACTAAACAATTCTTCATTTAAAGGTATTCTCACAAATTGTTGCCTTGTAATAAATACAGAATTATATTCAGGTTCCCTTATTTTTCTTTCATCAGCTGATGTTGATTCTGCTGCTGGAGTAAATACTGCTTGTGCTGAAGTCCTTTTTTTTGCTTTAGTGAAACTTGATCTTCCAGATAAAAGACTAGAAATTCTATCTTTATCTCTTTTTTGTTTTTTTTGATAAAAGCTGATTAAAGTTCTTTGTGACATTTCAAAAATTTTTAGATATTCTAGGATTTATTTTATGAAGATGGAAGAATTTCGATCCTTTATATATACATATTTTTCCGTCTCATTTTTTCAGAATTTAAAATAACTCGAATATTTCCGAAATGTATCATCATATTTCATTTTACATATGTATTATCTTTCATTAGATGTCAACCCTCCTTTTCTTTTTTTGATACATCATGATATTATTCCTAATTAATTATATAAATATTGAATTCATGTCGCGAATTATTTTAGGATATGCAATTATAAAATAAAATTACTTTTGATATGACGCGAAAGATAATATTATTGAATATTTTTATACGCATGTGTACATACATTAAATAAGTTATTATTAGTGGTATATCTTTCATTATATTACAAAGCATTGTGTGTATTGTCTATGGATTTATTAAAAATTTATTAATTAAATTTCTACATACTGAAAAACATTATCTATTATTTTAAAAAATAAATATGAATACTTTTTGAAACAAATCAAAAGCAAAATGTTGTATTATATACAAGATGAAATTTTATTGATATATAATTATAATACAGGTTTTATAATATAATACAAATAATACAAATATGTGGCTTCTATTTCTATAAAATTGTACACTTTCAACAAGTTTAAAATCATACATTACACGCAAGATGCAATAGTAGTTAATTGAATTTCTATATTTATTATAAATAAACCTGTGCATAACAAGTTATAATGAGTTCTAACTATATTGCTAATATCCTTCGTAACAATTTTGATTGGCATTGTATTATTAACAAATATCTTTCACTGCATTTTGATCGACATCGATATTCTTCGAAATTTATCATATCGTTGATTATTGTTTCAAATTTTCTTCGAAGGTTAATGTTTTTTTGTTTGTGCAACAAGATCAGTTATCTCATATGACTTATTATTTAACTATGTATTCTTTTGTTTATTTTCA